CTAAAATATCTATTTGTTTTATATATATCTATATTATATATCAGGAAACTAGGTGATCCGAATTTAAGTGTATTATTCCATATCATTATTCCAAAAAGTTTTTATCTCTTTTGGGCAAAATGTTGCGCAAGACTCCGCACATCTGAACTTTAAATACTTATAACTATAATGTATAGGTACTAATTTCCAAAAATTTGATTTATATTGATTGAAATACTCTGATTAATATTCGGTACTGCAGGTTTGTTATAGCCCCGCCATCCACATAACAATAAAAACATCGTATAAATATAAAATAATGAGTTTATTTATTGATTTGATAATAATAATAATTCGATGATAGATACATTGATATAATATTAAAAAATTAAAATTAAAAAATGATAATAATAAATATATCGTACAAGTATAAAACAATGATAAATATTAAAAATGTATAAAAATGTTTACGATTTATGTGATTCCCAAAATTCTGCTATATCTTTAAAGATGGTGTCAACGGATCACTATTGTTTAGTTTTGATCTCCCCATAAATTCTGCCATCAACGAGTCTAAAAAATTTCTATCAGTTCCTCTACGTTTTTTGTTTCCCCATTTGGCCGAACCCCATTCTCTCGACATTTTGTGTTGGCTCCTGAATTCAGTTCCATGAAATCGTATCTATATGCAAGGCCTGATTTACCACTTTATGGGCCCAGCACTCTATTTGGCACACTAAGTATGAAAACTCAGTTTGTATCAACGATACAGCCTCTCTATATTACAAACGCTTCCACGCAAAACTCCAATCCTACCCCAACCAACTCATCAAGGACCTTGCTACACCAGCACTACCCGGAAATCCAACTAGACGACTCAAGCGGAACTGATGCCGCAACTTAAAAATTTTATAAATTGCTTAAATTAAATGTCATTGTAATAAATTGTAAATGTTTTTTGTAAAGCCACTAGGTGTCTCTAATGAGAGATTTCCTACCATGTCATCATTAGTTCATAGTTTTTCATTCTTTTCACCATAATTATTACTTATTGTACACCCCTGTATAGATTGTAATATTTCAAAATAAAGTCATATATTAAAAAAAAAAAAAAAGTATGAAAAATTCCTTATTTTCAGGACATATTATACTGCCAAACACCCATTGTTGAGGTATTATACGCTCTGCATTATTTTTCCTGCGTACGAAAAGACTCTCATCTATTTCAAGTAATTTTCAACTAATAAATTTGGACCACCTATTGATTGTTGTTGCTCTCCATGCGCCATTATTATATTATTGATTATTAAGTAGGTACCACAATACCTCATAGTAATAGTACGTATTTGTCATCGAATTATCTTATATTTATACTAGGTATGTATTTATTGTTATATGGATGGCGGGGCTATAACAAACCAGTACCTAATATTCTGCTTCGGAATATGAAAGTGTAATTTCATAAAAGTAAAACTGAAAATTATAACGATAAAAAACAGTATAAGAAATGTTGTTTATTAATCAATTTATTTATTCAGTGAAAACAATATTACAATAAATTACATTCATAATATCTGACACGTATGCTAACTGATAATTTCGTATCTGGTATAAGTATACGGAGTTCATCGATATTACGATATGTTTTGAAATTACATCATATAATAGGTAATATGTAAAAAAAAAAAAATAAACAAAAAGTTGAAACTTTTCGAAATATTAGTGTAGACACTTAAATGGATCACTTTGTATATAGATAATTTTGATATTTTTAAATTACGCATACCTATTTTAGTGATATTTTTCATGACATGTGCATAAGCCATAAGGAATGTATATGAATTCATATTATTAAATCTATTTTGAATAGGTACACATTTTAGCATTTTTTGAAATTTTCAGGGCATATTTCCATGATTGTTTGAACAAAGCTGTTGCGTAATTTCATGTTTTTTTTAGTACATTCAATTCACAGTTTTGATAGCTTATAATAAAATAGGTAGGTACGTGTTTTACATTTTTTACGTTTTGATAAGTGGAGTGGAATAATGGCACCCTTTAAAATTCGAAAAATTCAAAGTGTCGGTCCTGCACTATACTTCGCAAACCTTAACTGTAAATAATTTTATGTTGTAACTATGATATTAACTCGTTCCATATTCAATTTTTGTTTAACCCATTTTGATTAACTTAATTTTAATATCACTGAACTTGAAATCTTTAGCTTTAAAACTTAGTCTTGAATGTTTCAAGAACACTACAGCTGTACAAAATTCAAAATACAGTATAAAAAAAAAGTTAAAGAACTTCGCGGGTCGTGGGACTTTGTAGATATAATTTCCGTAGACAGAGGCAGATAAATATAAGGATCCTAAGAGGCGTAACATTGTCATATTTTGTTGTCTCTGTATTTTTGTCCTTTGTCATGTTTTTACGTAAGTACCTATACATTATTATAATATTTTATATGCACAACAATTACATTTTCAAAACGTTTAGATTGATATTTGATTATAGGTACCTATGCTATTGCCTATTTATAGTTTAAACCGTTTTACTATAAATAATAAAATAAATTACCATAATAATTAATATGTCTTCGCTCAGAAGTCAGAATCGTTTTTCGTTATTTTGTTTTCAATTATAATGATTTATAATTTAATTTAAATTTAAAGTGAATTATTACATTCATTACAGTGACCTAATAAATGCGACAAGGTGTCAAAAAACAGAATAAATTAAATCGTAATTTCAAGCCCGGCTTAAGGATCAATTGGGCCACTGGACACCATACACTTAGTGGGCCTACTTTCAACTTAAGCTTCAAAATATTCTTATTATTACATATATTAACGACTTTATTTTATTGTATAATTTTTTACTATACAAAAAATATACAGAGTGTATCTTATGTCATAGTACGCGGGTTTTTTTTTTTTTGACAATTATGGATCGATGATATGGAATTTAGTTAAAACAAAAATATACTTGTTTCTTTATTTTTAACAGGCATTTTTTTTGTAACATTTTAAAATTTTTAAACACGCAGTTGTACCAATAGTAAAATCGACTTTATTTTTTTCAGATGGTACCTCCAAACCATTATATTTTTCATGGATTCTGGTAAAGCTTTTTGTCTGAACATTTTGACAGTCAAATGATCAATTTTAGTTTGCTAGGTTATTACTTATTACCTACTTAATAACTATGGTCCTCGAAAGTTTAGTATTATATGCATTAATACTTTTAACTGAAATACCTAATTTACAAGAGCTAAATATTTTTTTCTTTTAACTACCTATATACTTAAATAGTTAAATTAGTTATTGAAAATGCTCAAAAAAAAAAACATAATCAAAATTGTGTTTCTCAACACAGTTCATTATTTATAGTAATTTTTCGTGATATAAAATTGAGAACAATTTTATTTTATAATTATTAAGTAATAATAATTTACCTACTACCTATCTACTTAAATATAAATATTTTTTTAAACTGTATAGGAAGCCTTAAAAAAATATTTCTTGGCTATAAAGATGGGCCCCCAAAATCAGTGGGCCCTGGGACCGTGCCACCCTTGCCCCCCTTAATCCGGGCTTACGTATTTTAGAAGCCTGTGCTAGTAATATTATATAAGTAGCCTTTATTTTTTGTAGGTCTAAAATAGTAAAATGTATGCCACGAATCGTTGTTTGTATTTTCGTAGATTAAAGAGCATAGGTAGTTCTTTGCTAAAACGATACTTTGAAAGTTGTACCCATAGATATTTTATTCAGCAATTATAGACAGACTTTATATTACCATAATATACTATCTTATGATATTACTTAAATAATATGTAATATTTATTGAAGTTAGCCGACAATCGACATAATATACGAACAGGCCCGTTGTTTTTAACATTGTTTATTGTAATTATTATCTGTGCATGAATAACATAACTCAGTGGCGTATATGGTATATGGGTTTTTGTCTAGGGAGGGGAGGTATGATTTTATTCAGTAGCCTTGTTTTTAAAGTTAGAGGCCTTAAGTTAGGACTCCGAAAACGTTTGCATATTATGTATATATCAGCCTATGGAGGGGGGTTGACCCTCTTGACCCCCTCACGTAAATACGACACTGATATAACCTTAGATCATATGCATTATGCACTAATAGTCTAATACACTATACGTCTATACACTATATTATAATCTAAAGATATAACTATGAGTAAATATTGTCAGCTGGGCAGAATAATATGGCAATTGATTTGACTTCAATGATAAGAACGTCTTCTGTGGTTTTATCACAGCTGTTGATTTCTAGTATTATCTACGTACGTGTCTTATATCTATATTTGTAAACAATCATAAAATAAATTTTAATTCAATTTTATGCAATAAACAAGAATGCCAATTACTCATTACTCATAAGACATAAATAACAATAAAACGTTACGTAATAAAAAAAAATTAAAAATACCTAATGAATTTATGTAATGGAATGAGAACATAACGTATCGAAGAGCAGAGATAAATTCGTAAGTAATTCATATGTAATCGATTATTATGATACATACCTACAAACATACCATATCTTTATACTATATTATAATACTCTCCAAGTAAACAATTTATAAACAACAAATTAAGATTCTTTTGTTTTATTATATATTTTGTGTAAAATAGGTTCCTAATACCTGTTATTAATTATTATCCATCATATTCAATATACCTAGGTACATACAAATAAATGATTACTTGAATCAATTGAATAAATTATTGAGCAAAAATCTGCAAAATTAATAATTACATTTCCTGTTAGTGATAACTGCTTAGGTTGTATAACAGATAATCATTTGTTTATTTATATTTCATGTTGTATTTTCCAAATCGTCCTACAAGGCTACAGTCACCAGATTTAAACATCAAGGTAATCTGGCACTAGCCATTCAGTCAATTAGTGTTGTTATTGTTGGTCAGTAGACTACATTGCAGTGCGTTTAAATTTTCGGTGTACTCAGGCATCTTAATAAAAATGATTACAGTCAACCAAGTAAGTATATAAATTATTCTAGAAAATGTAATTTTAATCAAATATGGTTTATATTTTTATACCTATTTAAAAATGTATTTTAGGTGTTGCGCAATGTATGCCGTAACACTAGATGTGTTATTGCAAACAGGAAGTATAGTGAACAACCTCAAGAGACACCTTTCTGTTTGGGTTGGTTTTAATGTCTTAGGTTAAAATGTCAATGTTTTATTAAATATTGGTATTAATGCTTTTAGAATTGTCTGATACACAAAAAGAATTTCGTGACTTAGCAAGAAAATTTGCTCGAGAAGAAATTATACCTGTCGCTGCCGAATATGACAGGACTGGTCAGTACCCATGGGACATAATAAAAAAAGCACACTCAATTGGACTTCTCAATGGCCATATTCCTGAACATTGTGGTAATTTTTAAAACTAAATATTCTTAAGGCAATTTACTTAGTACTTACTGTTAAAACCGAAAACATGTAATATACAGCACCTTATCAAATAACTAGTTAATAAATTACCAATAAACTCACCATAGTGCTGTACAATACCATTCATAATATAACTATGAATAGACAGTGTTGTGATGGTTTAGTGTCATGCTCGAGTAATCTACACATCTCTTATAAAGTATAAATTATAGCTATTTACTATATCCATGCCTTTTTTGCATGGAGCAAAATCAAATATTTATGCATCCGTTTAATGTTAATATGATTAGAGGGTTTGAGTATTTAATTTTTGGTGCAGTACACCAATATATTATTGAGGGGAGGGGTTGAAATACTATACGTAGAATATAGAAGTCTGTGAATATGCCTAATACTTTCAAAGCGTATTTGTTGTAGACAATAGACTTTTATATTATTATGTCCATGGGTAGATATATTAATTAATGAGTATTGATTTTAATTATTTTTAAATGGATATTTTTTACAGTTGTAATATTACATGTTTTTATACAAAAGTTTATTAGATCATAAATGCTTCTACATTATTTTTTAAATGTTTTAAAATATTTTTGCAAACCTACCATAGTATCTTCAAAATGTTTTAAGATTAGCAAACCTATATCTTATACATCTTCAACAGAAGTTTAAAATAATACATTGAAGTTTCATATAAAAATTTAAATGAAATACATTTTTCTTTAAAAATATGTTGTATTAAGTATTAATTTTGAACAAGTTTATTCAACCAATCCCAAGTCTAGTTACTAAGATTTTTGAATCACAGCCTTGGCTTAAGTCTTTATGTTGAAAATCAATATACAGTTCCGCTTTAAATGATATCAAAAAAAAACTTTCATCAAATGCCTTAAAAATCGAATCTTTTTTTTATAAATGTTATCAACTTTTTTAGATTAGATAAGTAGGTTTTACTTATTTCAATTGTAAAAAAAAAATCTTTACTTACGTGTAATGTTTCCAATAAGACATGAGATATATCTTTATATCTAAAAATCATGTAAAAAATTAGAATGGATTGGAAAGAAAAGTCAACTTTAAAACTAAATATCTTTGTTTAGCTGATGCTACATGTTTCGTCGCTGTTCTTCAATGTTCATTTACTAGTAGTGATGTACTATCCACATTTTTATTTTTATCCCTTGTAAAATGTACATAAGAAATTTATTTATTATGTACATTTTACAAGGGATAAAATAAAAATGTGGATACTTTCATTGTCAATATTTTCCTCTTGTTTTTTATTTTTCTAAAATCTGTTTAACTACTCATAAAAAATAAATCTGATATATATAAGATAATTATGGTCTTGCTTGTAATGCTTTAGTATATTTAATAGGTTCACACTAAAAATATATTTCGCCTCCTCCATTTTGTCTATGCCTTGTTTTTTTAATTTTCATACTGGCATAAGTAGCTATATCAATATTTTTTTGTAAATTCTCCAGCTCTAAACAACTGTCGGATCTTTCTTTAAAAAATGTGTAAATTTTATTTTCAATCACATATATAAATAGTTTTTTGTAATTTACTTGATTATTAGTACCTAACTCCTTTAAGTGTGGCTACTAGCTTGTATTCTTATTTTACAATATGGTGCAACCATGATATAGTAATTTCTAAGTAATAGCCTATTCTTTGCAGGCACGCATCTATGCATTTTTTTGGGGGGGCTTAATAATTTTCTTACTTTCCTTACACACAGGTAAACAATTTTTACACATACATATTGAACAGAACTTTCACAATAGCGTAATCGAACGGACTGAATTGTCCAAACGAGATTTTCATGCTACAAGGCACAGACAGTCGACAGTTATCATTATTATTGTTATCGTAGTTACCAATCAAAATCGATGCGACATCATCGTATCTACCTATAAATCTAAAAATAATTTTCAACAAAATAAGCGATTGCCATAAACCTTATCACGTACTAATTGAACTATTTATGTGTTACCATCTAACGTCTACTATATTTGTGACTTATAATGTATAATTTTATGCAAAATATATTATTTTTTTGGGGGGGCTTCAGCCTCAGATCCCCTACCTCTTGGTGCGTCACTGATGCCTTATAATTTTCAACATTTGTGGTCTATTACGTAGACCTAAGTAAACCAGGTTGATAATAAAAGTCTCATTTATATCTAAATTAGGGAGGGCTATAAAAACAGGAAATTAGTTTCAGGAAAATTAATATGGGAATGATATTTTCTAAGAACCATATTTTTCAGTATCATTAGTTAATTTTTCAACTAAATATAACTCTAAAATTATAAAAGTGCATTAATTTAAGATATTTTGAGTTAGTAAATATTTTTACCTTGAAGTCCCCGGTTCATTCTCAGCTTCTCTTATGAAGTAAGTTTTAGTATAGTTTTCCATTTTGAAATAATAACATTATTCATGTTCAAAAAAGACTGCAGCCTTCAAAAGTCATATTTTAAATTTTATTATATTGTTCATATTAACCCTAAATTAATTTAATGTAATAATATAACTAAACAACTAAATATAAACATTGGTAAATGCCAAATAGTAATCAATACTAATATATTGGTCATAATATAATCATTTGCATTTATTATGATTATAACAAGGCTTTAGATAGCGTCTATAGACCATAGACTTCCTTATGAGTTGAATTCTTTTAGTTTTTGATAAAAAATTGATAATATACATATTGTATAATAATGTAATAGTATGAACTGTATATATATTTAAAGTTTAATCATAGATAAATTATAGCATTATAAACTATAAGAATAATAAGATAATTATTATTAATGGTTTTTTTTGAAAAATTAATAATTTAGAAATTCCAATATGGTTAGAAATATTATATAAAATTAATATATAATCCTTGGAGGATAAGTAGGTATTACTTATTTCAAGTACCATACTTAAATATTTATTACAAGGTTGCATATTATATGCTACATAATTTGCAAAAGCTTGAGTATAATTCCTTCTAAAATTCCTTCATAACAAAACGTAAAATAAAAATAAAATGATTCCTATTAAACTTAAAAAATTAACAATTGAAAAACGACAACTTGCTATATTTTTCTAAGAATGGTAATTATAAAATAAAAGGTTCTTTTTAAAATTAATATTTTACATTTAGTGCAGCTTAAATAATATACAAAATCTTAATAGTGTGAAAGTGTCACCTATCCTATAAAGTGTTTCCTTAAGAACGCCAAATTTAATATCGTTATTACTTAATTAGAAAAAAAGGTGGGCAAGTGGGTGTCGCTCTGCTGTACAGTAGGTTACAAGTGGGTCACTGTATAATGGATGATATTAAATTTGAATTCAACGATATAATATCATTGTATAAGAAAAACGATTCTGAGCGGAGACAGTATGTCAGTCTAGGTATAAGACATATTATATACATTATACATATCTATGGTATTAAACAAAAAATTGACCTATAATAGGTACCTATAATAAATTCCAAATTAATCATATCACAATATCCATTAGATACTTATAACGCGTTATACATCCAGGGGCGGATTGGGGAGAGATTCCGGCCCGGGAAAATACAAAGTATACCGGCCTTACCAATTTACCAAATATTTAATTTTAGCCAACATAATATTATTATGTATTACTATTTTAACATAACTACACGTTTGGCAAGATATGAAATTTATAAAACTTTATTCGTAGTGTATATACATCGATATCAAATTTATTTTTATTTTTGAACAGTTTATGTTTACACATTTATAATAGTCCAAACTCCAAGTACTTATATATAACACAGTAAAAGTGAATAATTTAAATTACTAATGTTACGATTTTTGTATTTAATAAGAAAGGTTATTACCTATTCAATAATATTTAATAATGCGTTTTTAGACTTAAATAAAATCTTATAATTTACTTCCACTTAATATACCTGATAGGTAAATTAACAGAATCAACATGCAAAATGTATGTGTTTTACTTTATTTTCTAAAAAAATGTTTTACTGTGGTTTATTCATAATAACATTATGTAGGTACTTCAATTCTAAACAATCAGAAAAATTGTATAGTTTTGTTTTTCTTTAGTATTATTATGTAATATAATATTGAGTAAAATGTTTTGTCTCCGTCTTAGTACAATCTAACAAATTATCGTTCACTATCTGTATTCACCGATCAGCCGAAACGATATAATAATATTTAGCTGTAGTAACTAAATATTATAGAAATTATTGTATACCTACGTAATGTTACTTCCCTATTATTCAATAATTTATAAATTCGCCTAAACGATCGGTTAATTTCTGACCCAAATGATATATGCTTTACTCAAGTTAATTTTGGATTATTCGCCCAAACGAATGACGTTCAAATTTTTTACACCCGAAATACGTGTACTACTGTATTAGTATACAGAATTAAAAAGTGTATAAAACAATTTTCGGAAATTTAAACACTGTTCAAAAGTTACAGCAAATCATAGTTTTTAAATATTACAGTGCTTACTGCTCAAATCAGGTTGACTTTTTCTATTTTCTACTTCCACGGGATGTCAAGTAAAGTAGACTTTTTCCGAAGTTTATCGTTACCTAGAGATCACCCAATGTGGTTTTACATAACATATCAAGGGTTGTTTTCGATTTTAACTGTCCTAACTAGTGACCCCGCTATATTACATTTGCTGTTTTTGCTTTTCGAAAAATACTATATTTTTGCTTTCTGTCTCTCATCGTTGCGCCATCATAGATTGCCTACCTGATATACCTACTATTGCATACTGTCTGCAATCCAATTCGTATTATCTTATTTTGAAAAATCGGGAAAAAAATGCAAATTTACTGGGCTGGTACCTAATAGGAATTTAAGAATACATAGTTATTTGAAAAAGCGGCCCACCGGGAAAACTCCCGAATTCCCGGTGGCCCAATCCGCCCCTGTATACATCAACAAAAACCGCGATACTATCATAGATATATAATAGTACACTTTAGAAGTTTCAAGTACCCACGAATAGTATTATTCAATCACAACAAAATAACTAAAATCGTAATTCTTGGTTTAAATATGAAATTTTGTCTAAATTTGAAATTAAAATGTCTGTAAAAAATAAGTGTGTTTATATATTTTTTAGATTTTTTGGTTACAGTATGAATTATTTAAGAGAATCTTTGTTTTAAATTTTCAACTCTTAGTTATAAAAACTGAACATTTTATAATTTTTTAATTCCAACGATTGATAATTTTCGAGATTTTGATAAATTTTGTCAAAATTCCAACTTTAAATGCTTATAAAAAAAAATCGTGTCTATGTATTTTTAATATTTTTCAACTGATATTGTAACAATATATCAGGAGCCTTGTATTAAATTTTTACACTTTTTGGCCCAACAGATAAAACTTTATTGATATTTATAGAAAAAAAAACTAAAAAAAATTGAAAGCTGTAAATGTCCATAAACAGCTCAAAAAGAGTCAAAATATTTTCAAAATTGTATGGTGTATAGGAAATGCTAATATAAACATTCAGTGAAATTTTCATGTATCTACAGTTATTCGTTTTTGAATTACAACAAAATAAGGAAATCGCTACATGAGAAATCGAGTGAAAATCCAATGTTGTAAAAATTTGAATTTCAAACGCTCATAAAAATTTAATTTGACTGTCCGGTAGAGATTTTTTTATTGATAAAGGTAGATAATCTTATAAGGAATCTTGTGTTTCATTTTCAAATCTTAGATTTAAAAAGAAAAATTTTTACGAATTCTTAACTCAAAATAATTTGCTAATTTTCGTGATTTTTCCATATTTTGTCAATTTTTGAACTTTAAGTGCTTATAAAAAAAAATTGTGACTAAGGATTTTTAATATTTTTCATCTGCCTTTGAAACAACATATTAGGAGCCTTCTATTAAATTTTCAAGCTTTCGCAACCAACAAATAAAATTTTATTGATATTTCTAGAAAAAAAACTAAAAAAAAATGAAAAATGAAAATGTCCCTAAACAGTTCAAAATAAATCAAAATATTTTGAAAATTTTATCGTGTATAGAAAATGCAAATATAAACAACCAGTGAAAATTTCATGTATATACGTTCATTTGTTTTAGAGTTACACCAAAAACCAAAATCGATTTTTTGAAAAACCAATTTTGCGTAAAAATTCCCGTTTTTCCTTAATTTTTATGTTGTTTTTCCCGGCGCTTGTGAAAACTACTGGGAAATTTATACTTTTGACCCCCCAAAGTACCAACTAGATTCACTTTCCTATCAGAAAAGCTACTGATGAAGAAAATCCAAGCACTTTTACTGTCCTAAAACGTGATGACAGACACAAAAATAAAAAAAAAATAAAAAAACACACATCATTGTAAAATCAATACATTCATCGTTTCACTCAGAATCTAAAAAAGGCTTAGAACAAAAAAATGATATGAACTTGAAGTATACATTCTTTGGTTTATGTATGGAATACAACATCTGAAATATTATGTCCTCCTCTGCAAGCTTCAGGTCACAACAGTTCCCATCACTATCTGACACATTTCTGGGTTAGTTCACCGATGATGCAACAAATTTCTTCTTTAAGAGTTCTTGAATGGCTTATGGCTTGTTTTTGTAGACTGACATTTTCATTAGACGGTATTATTCTAGACTCTTGTAATTTTTTCTAAGTCCATACTAAGTTATAATATATCTATAATAGTAAGCATACAAGCATAGATACAACAGTTGTCAATCTAATTTATAATCTATATATTTGTGGACCGACTACAACTTACTTAGTCATAAAAAAAAAAAAAACATAAAAAATAGTTTCTCAGTGCTTGATTTATAGCAATATAAAAATTTAACTGCTGTATAAAAAACTAAGATGTACATTTTTAAAATAAAATTAAAATTAATATTTTATTTTGTGTCATTTATTTTATATTACAATAGTCATATTATAATATTTATGTTTATAATTTGTTAATATGTACTATATTATATTTATAATTATCTTTACAAATTTATTTCCATGATATTAATTAAGAAATTTTAAGGCCACGAGTACGGGTGATCTATATTATCTATCTTGGTCCGTGCCTTCGTGGACTGTGGCCAATAACCAGGGGCGGAGTGGGAACCAAATCCAGGCCGGGAGTTTAAAATTTATCTAGGCCACCCACCAAAATTTTTTTTCTCGCTAAGCTCGAATTTTATTTTTCTATTTACCTATTTGAAAACTACTTTTAGTATTATAAAAGTATTTCAATCACTATCTTGCTATTTCTTTTAACTTCTGTCTTCTAACACATAATATTAATATACCACTAAGTACCTACTTATTCCTGAAAGTCTGAAAAATAAAATTAGTAGGTATGGTTTAATAGTTTAAATCAACGAAATATTAATAATTATATTATACATTGTGTTTTAATTGTTTAGGTATAGTAGATATAAGGTAATAAGTAATAGATATATACAAACATTGTAAACAATATAATATAATAAAAAAGATTTATACATTCATAGTAATAATTTAGATAATAGATTAGATTTCTCACCAACTGCATTTATGATAATATTGTTATCTATTTCCATGAGAATTTTATTTTCAATGGCCATAAGCATAAAAGACTCAAGATAATCATTGGTCATTGAATTTCTCAGCCTAATTTTTAAATACTTCAATGTTTAAAATAGGTGTTTTATTATAAAAATAACCGACCTATTACAATATTACAATATTATATTGCTTTGATTTTATTTGATGTCTATATTTATGTGCCAAATATTTTGTAATTTTATATCCAAAGCTTAAATAATTAATTAATTAAAAAAAAAAAAAATTTAATAGAAACAAACATTTAGCATTAACTAATATTTTGTAAATTTAAAAAAAAAATCTAACAAAATGGCCAGGCCACCAGGCCATAGTATGGTCCAGGCCATCTGGAAAATTCCCATTTCCAGACCGGCCACTCCGCCCCTGCCAATAACCATGAGCTAATGAGTCATAACTGTGCATTTATTTTGGTACTTCCGCTATTGATTATTTTAATTTCTATTGTTTAGTAGGTATCTAATGTTCATTTATATTATAATTAAAGCCAGAAAAAGTTACCCGGAAAAATTGTGCCCAAGTAATTTTAATATTTTAAAATGGCTATAGTAACAACTTGTGAGTTATGAGGAAGCTACTATTAAATTTTCAAAATTTTTAACCATGCTAAAATTTTTATCAATATTTATAGGAAAAATACATTCAACTTTCCACTCAGAACTTAAAATCAAATGTCTCAAAAAAAGTCAAAACTATTTGAAAATACTGTCAAGTATAGAAACTGCTAATAGCCTAATTAAACATAAGGTGACATTCCAAGTAATCCGCTGTTATTCCTTTTTTGAGTTACATCAAACAAACAAGATCGATTTTGTCAAAAACTGTTTTTATATAAAAAAAAATTCTCGGTTTTCATTATTTTATTTTGAAAAATACTAGGAATTTTTTGCTCTAGACCACCCTATGTACCAGATACCTAGATTAATTTTGATACCAGAAACCATCCTCAAAGTTGAAAATTTGAGTTTTTTCTCTATTTTAAAGTATTTTTAGACACAAACATACACACCATTGTAAAATCAATTCATTCATCACTCATTCACGCACACTGTATATAATAATATTGCATTGTTCACCGATGTGGTCTGTAATAAAAAGTATATTATAAAATATTACAATGTAACATTCAGAGGAGAACTATCCTATGTATCCTGTTTATTGTAACACATTTAACATTTGGTAGATGGGTAGCTGATTGAATGTTGGGTAATTAATTATTTATTATACAATGACTCATTATATTATAGTGTATCATAATGTTTTTTTTAAATGTTGCACTATAATGAGTCACTGTAAAATTTATAACCAAACATAAAATAAACTGAGAAAAAACTTTAAAAAAATCGAAAATTTAAAATATACTTATGAATAGCACAAAAAGAGCTGAAATATTTGGAAAATTATTTTAAGTCTAGTATTTGCATATTGCATAAAACATATAAATGTATTTTCGGTGAAAATTTCTAGTCTCTGTGGTTTGAAATCGTGTAATATAACAAATATTTTATTGTTTTTCCCAATTATTTTTAAAAGCACTAGTCAATTTTGATAAATAATAAATAATTTATCAATAATAAATAATTGCATATTATATGACTCTCTAATTGAATATTGGTAATATTATATATTCAAATTTCAATAAACTATTATTTAATAACAGAAATTTAGCTTATGCATGAACTATTTTTGATTTAAGGTGGTATGAACATGTCTGTGATGGATGGGTGCTTGGTTGCTGAAGAACTGGGTTATGGATGCACTGGAATTAAAACTGCTCTAGAAGCGAGTGGTTTGGGCGTAAGAAAAAAAGATTATTTGTAGAAACTTTGTACAATTTAATTTGTATTTATTAACGTCTTATGTAATTTAGCAAATGCCAGTTATAATCGGTGGAAATAAAGAACAACAAAAAAAATACCTTGGAAGGCTAATTGAAGAGCCTTTGGTAGCTGTATGTTTATTTTTCACTGTTATTAATGTTAAGTGTTGTATACATTTCACTAGTTTAAACTATTTACAGGCTTATGGTGTAACAGAACCTGGTGCTGGTTCAGACGTTAACGCTTTAAAAACGAAAGCCGTAAAAAAGGGCGACGAATATATCATTAATGGACAAAAAATGTGGATAACCAATGGTGGTGTGGCCAACTGGTATTTTGTGTTAGCTCGTACTGATATGGACCCCAAAGCCCCGGCAAGTAAAGCATTCACTGGTTTTATTGTTGACGCGGATACACCTGGACTTACACCTGGGCGAAAAGTATAGTAAAAGTTATTTTACTTGAACACAATTATATTTACTCATGTATTTAAGGAATTGAATATGGGGCAAAAAGCTTCAGACACTAGAGGAATTACTTTTGAAGATGTTCGAGTGCCCAAAGAAAATGTGTTAACTGCTGAAGGCCAAGGCTTTAAAATTGCAATGTCAACATTTGATAAAACCAGGCCGCCAGTAGCTGCTGGAGCTGTTGGCTTAGCTCAAAGGGCATTGGATGAAGCTGCCAAGTATTCGCTTGAAAGAAAAGCATTTGGAGTGCCCATCGCTAGACACCAAGTAAATAACCTAACTTTAATTACAACTAAACAGAATGTTCCAATGGTAATCGGAAAAAAAAAAATCCAAGGATATACAATCCAAAATTCCCAAAACAAATACTTATATGTAATTGTACATTATAAAATATACTCATAACTCGCTTTAAAATTAAAATATAATATAAAACCCTATGATATTGCCTGGATAATAATCTTAACTTTAATTTTTTTAAGAAGTCAATTCACTCCAGTGACGGATATAGAAATAATTTTTGGGGTTGGCTATAATGCTATATAATATGATTGACTAATAAATGATACTTTAATTTTACAGTAAAATCTAAACAAATTTGTTACTTATTTAGTTGTTGAAATTACCTCCCACTAAATATAAATAATTGAGGAGTTATTACTTTTTTTTTGTATAGATAATTTTATTAGACTTTTACTATAAAATTGATAATTGTAGTATATTACATATTAATACTTTAGTTAAAAAATCATTTAAGATGTTAGGATTCATAAACAGGAATACAATTAATTTCAAAAATATTAACTCATTTATAATACAATATTATTTAATTTCAGTATAATATTTGTCAAATTGAGATTCAACTTACTGTACTTTTAATTTTTATTACCAAAGGGTATACCTATCCGTTTATAAATAAACAAATAAATAAATATTTATATAGCAATATCATATAATATTATATATACCTATTTATCAATATTATAATAATATAATAATTATCATTTAAATTTTATATATTTTTATTATTATTAATTAATATTTTTGACAGCTGTACCCAACAGTACGGTTAGGAATAACTTATTTTCCTAGATTTGTTTCAATTTCATCTTATATACTAAAAATCAACGTTATATTATTGACTATAAAAAAAAATATATCAACGTTCAAAGTGTAATTCATATTTAATGTGTTATGTCTAGGCTGTTGCTTTTATGTTAGCTGATATGGCTATTGGTATTGAGGGTGCTCGACTTACATACATGAAAGCTGCATATGAAGTTGATCAAGGACGGCGCAATTCTTATTATGCATCGATTTCAAAAGCTTATGCTGCTGATGTGGCAAATAAATGTGCTACTGATGCTGTACAGGTATGTATTGTGCAATAGTTAGTGTAATATAATATTATTTAACTATTGATACATCATTAATTAATAATCTCAGATATTTGGCGGAAATGGATTCAACACAGAATACCCAGTAGAAAAATTAATGAGAGACGCTAAAATATATCAAATTTATGAAGGTACTGCTCAAATCCAACGGTTGATTATTTCAAGGGACATCATTGAAAAAACCAAACAAAATATGTAAAAAAAAAAAAATTTAAAACACAAATTAAATAAGTACTTTGTTGTCAAAATACAAAATTAAATATTTATTTTTATATTTTAACATTGTAATGGATTGGTAAAATGTATTTGTTGAGAAATATCGTTATATAAACAGAATATATTTATTATTTTTAATATTTAAGCAGTCTTATTTATACCCCGTTCATATGCTATCGCTAATACACATACGAGTAAGTTAATTTGGTAGTTAGATGCATATAAACTACATTTTAATTTTCATTAAGCTAACACGTATTAATTATTTATTACAACTGGTAAAATAGAGTTAACTCTAATGTGCATTAACGATTGCATATAAACATTGTAATTGGTGATAATATACCTAAATTATTTATAATATATAATACAATTATCATAATAAAATAAAAAAATATTAATTTTTATATTTAATAGTACACTGATGGTATTTTAGTTTTCACTAGATATGTAAAAACAGTTATTGTGTAAGCTTATAGATAAGCATTACAATTATTAATTAGGTAAATACATAAATGAATTTCTTTAGGTATAAAATAAAAAAAAAGAATTGGAAGATAGTAACTGATAAAAATAATATGCTAATTTGTTAGTTATACACAATATAAATATAAATATAAAATGTATAACATTCAGTGGCACAAATTCAATGAAAAAACTGGGAGTACTAATCAACCCCCTTCAAATTGCTCCCACGATGATTTTATACAACTATTTGAGTAAATGTATTACTATTTAATTTAGAAAAGTTAAACTAAAAAATAAAAATAATAAAAAAATGTATATTATAGAAAATAATATAAAATCTATTTTATCCTGGTTCGAAGGATTTTAATATTTTCACTATTTTCCTTTTGATCTTAAATTTAATAGTGTTGTTATCTGAATGTCAAACATTCCTTGTACCATATTGTGTATTATTTTTAATAAGGGCAGAAGTTTGAGCATGTTCTTCAATTGTAGATTTCCTTGTAATTGGTTGACGAGTCCGCCATGCAAAATGACTGCGTGACATATCCACATCTCGGAATGTATTCAACATGAATATTGCAGTCACAGTTATAAGGAATCCACAAATTATACCAATAATATCCTAAAATGCATATAAAATAGGAAAATGAAAAACAATTTAATTTACTGCCTGTATTGAGAAAATAAAGTACATTTAGTTGCAGGTGTTCCCATTCCTTGAATAATATTGCGGAGGCTGTTATTACAAGAGTTGTAAACATAACATAATAAACAGGTGTAACTACACTTGTGTTGAAAGTGTCTAAAGCTTTGTTCAAATAGTTCATTTGTATACAAACAAATGTAATCAGCAATACGATAAACATATAAGTTAACCAATTTGTGAATTCACTGGTACCTAATATTACAAACATTGTTTAATAAAATATAAATATTTAATTACAAAGAACAAAATAATTTTTTTTAAATCTATAAGTTGATATATACCTGCTATTGTTTCTCTTATGGCGAGTCCAAGTCCTTTACACCACATAACAGTTAATGAACCACTAGTTGAACACATTATAACATAAACTATAACATTTGATGAACCATACCGTGGTCCAAAATAGAAGAATATTGAGAAAATTATGATCAACATTATGCTAGTGTATATGATGAAACCTAAAAAAGCAAAGAAGACTTTATGAGTTTCATTACAAAAATCTCAATGCAATAAATAATTATAAGAAAACCTACCTGGTTCTGTAAGTTTCTGTAATAAATCTTCAAGGGAGTCAACTGTTTCTTCTTTCGGAGAATGAATTACCATCACCGTTGAACCAATTATACACATAAAGCAACCAATCTAAAATTATGACAATATTATTATAATTGTTTCATACAACCCAATACTTAAAACTCATCAGTTATAAAATATAAAATATAAAACTTATAAAATATATATTAATAAACATTATTATAGGACTTGACACAGTTGGAAATATGTATGCATCTCATCTAATGATAATATATAATATACATATTAATAAATTATTATAGACACTTATTGTTATTATTGCGAAGAAATCAGTTGATTATAATATTTTAAATAACATATATACAGACTTAATTTAAACCATTTTAATTTCTAGAATGTATTGTTTGATTTTAGAAAAATCAGAAAATATGTAGGTACGAAATTGCATGTTTTTTAATTATGAAGAGTAAATTTTGTATTTATTAGTGAACAAGACTTTATGGCAATATATAATACAATAAATATTTACCACTAATAAATTATGAGTGCATACTATGTATACATGGGTATGTTAATTTACAATTTTATCTCACTGTTTTTATAACACAAGTTATTTAGTTATCTTTATATTTATTGTTTTGAAAATTAATCATTGATACTTTTATTTTTTAGACTATAAAAATATTTAATTTAGGTACTTACCTACAGTAGAATAAAACATAATTTAAAAAAAATTTAAATACAGTAGTAAACCTAGACTATTGACTAAGTTTATATATTAAAATTATTAAAATTCCAAAAATTAAATTGAAAACTAAATTAATATATTATAATAACTTAAAATATTTGTTAAACAGGCAAAACAGAAACTATGAAATTATTTAACATTCATTTAATAATAATATTTTAAATGGTTGTTTCATAGCTTGTTCAAAAATTATAGAACAAGAAAATGACATGGTTATTTATGATTTAAATATTTAAAATAAGCTTGTATAATAGTCCAAGAACAGTTAACAAAAAAATAAAAACATCATTACACAACAATAACCACTATTTTTTGATTCCATATTTAAATTGACTATATTTATATTCACCTTTGCCAATAAATTAAGCTGTTCATTTAAATACTTTGAAGATAATATTGCTGCAACAATGACACTAAGTGCACCTAGTGGCGTAACCACTGAAGCTGGGGCAAAAGCATAAGCAGCAAAGTTAAATACTTCTCCAAAAGCCACTAATAAAAAAAAAATCATTAACAGTATACAATTTAGGTTGTATGAAAAAAAATTGTCTTACTCATAGATAATCCAAACCACCATAACCAATTATTTAAGTATCCATATCCACCATTAGCTGCTCTGCGTCCACTTCCTAATGATATTTGAACAAGAGCTTTTTTCTTTATAATGAAACTTGCTCCTAGACAAATGAAACAATTTATTAGGCACTTAGGTTTATACATTTGATATAATTTATAATACATAATATTACACAATTCTAAAATATTAAATATTAAATTTTAGTTAAAAATAATACATAATTATTATGAACAACTGTCTATTATGTATTCCACACCTATCTCTGTTGTGTTTTGTGTCACTAACTACAAATATAACAAATCTATGCAATGTCAAATATATATTTTTATTTGTGCAATCCCAAAAATGTTATAATTAATGAAGGTTAATAAGTAATAAATTGTAATATTATAAATTGTTAAATTTTTTTCTTAAATTTATTACTGTTAAGGTTTTTGACAACTGAGGTCATTAGCCTGGGATACTGTAGGTTTTTAACACGTGTATGTATGTGTGACAAGGATTTGTCACTAAAAATCCTAGGTGGTCACTCAGCCGAGAGCTAGAGACACCGACCAGTGCGTACACTCAGAACTAGTTTTGTAACTGAATGCACATACAGCGCCACTAAATTTCTTTTATAATTGCATGTTTGATACCTTTCAACAAAGTATAATAATTACTAATATAATGAGGAGCAATATTTTTAATAGTAAAAGTAAAATTTTATTTTATTTATTTTAAATAGGAAGTATACTATTGTAGGTATTCTAATTATTATAGGTGAGCAACCTTTGGGAAATGAGAACCAGACTTTTTATTTTTAAATAATAATTAGTATTTAATAATTTAAGCCAAATTTCTTTAAACTCAGGTATATTGTAACTTTTATTATCATTATTTTTCAAAAAATAATAATAAGTGTATTGTGTACGCATACAAGTTACACATTTTAATATCACAATACTATTAGTAGTTGCTAGTTATACATTTTTTTATGTATCTATAATTGTACATATGTATACATATATAATATAAAGGTTATCTAAAATGATAACAAATGGAATGTGGAAAGAATATTAAATAAAATAATAAAGGGAGACATACAGATTTAATTACAAATATGTTAACCTTTGAAACTTATCTGATAGGAAGTAAAAATGAATCAGATCATTTAATTTTAATAGAATATAAGTAGATTTAAATATGTACATAGGTACATATTGATTTAAGTTAGGTATAGTAATCAATAATTAAATAAAAATATGTTGTAAACTTGCACTTTTAAGATATATAACACTTTAGTTTGAAGAACAAAAAAATGTTTTCATAGTAATCAAAACAACACTCACACAGTATTAATTATAAAACAAATTGTTAAATCTAACATACCATAGTAAATACTAACAATATATCTTTTTAAATAATGTTGGTAATAGTAAATGATTTTGAATATCTTAAAAATAACACTTAAACTTGAATATATATCAAAAAAAAAATAATAATAAATAGTATAAAATACAAACCAATAAAACCACTCGAAGACAAAGCAAGTCCAAGACCAATATAATAATCGGTCATATCATACAATCGAATTGGTTCATCCTTGTCCATGGTTAGCAAAAATAAGTTACTTGCTATTGAGTGAATAATAAAATGGTTTAATTCACAATGAATAAAATACCAATACTGTTCAGAGCTCAGACGCCATATACTTGTAATGTGATCTGGATATTGGTAAATTCAATAATCGTAGAAAAATAACGATTATAACATTGAGATTTTAAGGTTTCACTATGATATAATAATTCACATAACACCAGAACCGAGACGGTACGAGAACGCAAAACAAATAACGATTAATAAAAATATAAAATAATGAATGTCTATCGGTCACAAATTGCTGTCTAATATCTTTAGACTAATAATAATAGACATAACATTAGATTGTAAATTTTAAAGTGAGTAAAGTGAGTTACGCAAAATATCATAATAATAATAGTATTATAGATATTAGATTATAATAGGCTTTCAGGCTATAATAGCCTATAAGCAAGGCTATAAATTGATCAATAAGACGTGTGGTGGTGGTACTCACGAAGTACTGGTTGCGCACGGCATCTGATAAGGCGCAAATGAAATAACCATAGCTGATGTATCATCAATATCTATATATCTATCAAAAATTAACCAGTACTCAGTAGGCAGTAGCGCTCCAAACGACAGTATTCTGTGGTATCACAATGAACCGATTATACAATCAAATCAATAGAATATGATGTACCTTGCTGCTGATGTAGAATAAAATAATATAGATACATTGGTGTAAAATTGGTTCTAAATGTCGACACATAATATTATATTGTTGAGCAAAGTGGTATAGCATAGTGCTATAATAGAACTCTATTATGTTGTTGATTGTTGATATCAAGCGGTAGTAGTTAATTTTTTCAGCTGTTTTATGCAGTCACTTTATAAATCAATCTGAAAGCCGTTTATTATAGGGCGACCATAGACCATAGACTTATAATTTATAAACTTTTTTACAATATGCTGGTAGAGAGCCTTTATATCATTTATATATAGCCTTTATTATCTATAACATAGGCTCTCTACCACGAATTAAGATATATTAAGATATTAAGTATATCTTAATTCGTGCTCTCTACGTGCCGCGGGTATCACGTCCTTTTAACTATGATAGTCAGTTTATCTTTTATCTATGTTTAAAATTTAGCAGGATTTATCAGCATGGCTCATAAGTGGTATAGGTATATGTATAGCCGTAGGTCATCAATAATATTATTTTGTATAATTTTCTATGCTATGACGTACTTCGTAGCCTACAGCCTGCAGCAGCTGCTGTTCGTGGACTTGCTATCAACATTTAAAAATGATAAATAAAATAAAGTCTAATGTCTATTGACAATATAATATTGACAATAGGTAGGTATTCAATAATGAAAAATGAATATCGAATTACTGATTATCAAATGGTTAAAAGTTAAAACCATCATGTAGAGTTCTACAAGTTTCTGTGCCATCGTCACAATGAATAAAATATAGTACACGATTAAACTTACAGCTTTTTAGTACAACGATTGAATGAAAAACGGCCCTACTCAAATATGAATCTTACAAATAGACTGATTTGGTTCCTACAGGTAACGATAAAAGTATCAGTTATTTTAAGTATATAATTTTGTCTAGTTGTTTTTTATTTTTTGTGACTATACCACACAGATTAACAGATATTGATTTTAAATTAAGGACAATTTTAACTAAAGATTTTTTTATCTAACTTTGTAATATAAATGACAAATTTAATTTTTGTTAGACAAACAAATATTGTTGTTTCTAGATTAACATTAGAGTTGAGTATAACTAACAATATTCTGTTCAAGCTAAAATTTTCAGAAATTTTGCTTTTATAGTGAATGAAATAATGATTGGTATAGGTAACTAAATTAAAAATATTAAAAATGTTCTTATTGTTTTAAAATGATGATATTCAACATCATAAAACTATACTAATATCATAATAGTTGATTTTCTCATATTATGGAGTTTAATATTAGTGATTTAAATAAATTTAAATTTGATTCCCACATTATCAATGTTGGTTGTAAACAATTTTAATTTTTACTAATAGCTAATAGGCAGAATGAACTAAACTAGATCATGGCCTCTTAATAGCTATCTATTGACATTTATTATTGTAGATTTCAGATTTACATCTTAGCGTTTTCCACGATTGGGAACGAGTAACTGAGCTCAAAGAATTTTGTGAACTAACTTTGGATACCATTAAACCTTCAGCTGTATTAGCGAGTGGTATGTTTTTTTTTATTTTATAAATATTAACTGTTCAAATTAAATTTTAATAGGTACTATATTTAATATATAATATGATGGTTACATAAATAATTATTTTAAATTCTAATCTTAAATTTGTATTATATGATTTAATAATAATAATACTACAGTGAGATTTACATATAACAAACTTCCATTGAACGGCGTAGCTAGAAACCATTTGGGCCATGCTGAGGTGTTTGAGAATTCAAAGAGTTCAAGAACCTATTACCTATCCTTAATTAAAAGCATAAAGTGAAACAAAATTGGGTTTTAAGTGATTTTTTCATTAGTTCAGTTATTTTTAAACAAATAACTTGTGCTTTGTTTTAAAATATAAAAGTAATGAGTTATAGTATTTTTGGGTTTTTGGTTTCCATTTTTATTTTGGATTTTCATGTGATACTTAGATCTATATTAATAATTGATTAACAATTTTTTAACTCCTAATTTTGAAATTATTAAGACATACTATATTATTCTTTATGTTAATTCAAGTAATTATAATTACTAATTTAAACAAAATATTACTGTAGGAGATCTAACTGATGCTAAAAAAAAAGATGGTATTGGATCAACTCAGTATGAAGGAGAATGGTTAGCATACCACAATGTATTAACATCTGGGAAAGTGTCTGAAAAAACTAAATGGTTAGACATTCGTGGAAATCATGGTAAACTTTCAAAAATATTAAGTGTATTTTAATATTTATATAATTTAGGTACTATATGTGATTTAATTTATATTTTTAGATAGTTTTGATGTAAACAATTTAGAATCTCCAAAAAATTTTTACCGAAAATATTCTGAACAAGGCCAGTCTCATCCACGATCATATAAATACAAAGTTACAAATCATGCCGGAATGAGTCTTAATATGATTGCAGTTGATGCTTGCTTGGATCCAGGACCAAAAAGACCATTTAATTTTATTGGAAACTTGGATGAACCTGAAATTCTTCAATTGCAATCTTTAGCAAATAATACCAAAGATCCTATTGTATGGTTTGGACATTACCCAACTTCATGCATATTTACATCAGGAAGTAAAACTGTAAAACCACATAATGAATTAAGTTGTTAATATATTTATTTCATAATAATTTGTTGTTTTTAGGTAAGGTCCATTATAGGTGAAAATCCAATGTCTGCTGTATACTTATGTGGTCATTTGCATACATTAGGTGGTTTGGTGCCTCAAATGTATACAATGCAAAACGAAGGTTTTGCAGAGTTAGAACTAGCTGACTGGAAAGATGGAAGAGCGTTAGTAGAATCTAGATTAAATTTAAAATTGACAACTAACTGTACTGTTATGTTTGTTTGTAGGTTTAGATTAATAGCGTTTGATCAAGGATCATTTTCATTTATTGACGTACACCATGGTCAATGGCCAATTATATTAGTCACTAATCCAAAAATACCCTGGCTTACTATAAGAAATATGGAAACTGAAGAAGATCGAAAGGCAAATATTAAATATATAAGGTAATTGGATATTTATATAATATTTATCTAATATAAATATATTTTTTTAAAGAATTATACAACATTCATTTTTCTTTTGAATCGTAATTTATTAAAAAAGCTATGAATATACAAAAAGTTGCTGCAGCAAATCTTTTGGTCGTTGGCTATTTTTACTTAAAACAAAAATGGTTATTTTACAAGATATGGGGAAATTTATATTATCTGTGTATTATTCTTATTCAACGATTTGAAAAAGCTTAAAATAATATGTGTTTACCTATGTGTTAAAGACAATAGTAAAACCAGTTAAATGAAAGATGTTTTTTTATTATTTTAAAGACGGCCAATATTCAATTTACAATAAATAAAATATACATAATGGAAAAAACGAATTAAAAATATAATTTTCATACATAAAGACTGTAGTACCTATAAAAAATGCTAAAACATCAAATATAAATTATAATATAATATTCTATTGACACACATGTCACTTGGCTATATAAAATTCCATTATCTTAATCCCTAAATAATGAAAATGTAACCTTCTTTTACATTTTATTTAATATATTTTAAATCTTAAAAAAGCTTATTTTTTGTATTCAATTTAATTACCAACTTTTATTCACTAATTTTAGAATATTAGCCTTTTCTGTTGATCCTATCAAACATGTATTAGTACAAATAGATAAGGAATATGAATGGAGAAATTGTAGTCATGTGGAAGGTAGTCCTCTTTATATAATTGAATGGAATTATAATGCATACTCAAGTGGACTGCATACATTAACTGTAAGTAATTACAATTAAATAAGTATAATTTGTATTGTTGTTATTGTAATGAAAACTGATGTAAGTGTTATAACTCTTTTGTAGGTTATATATTATTATAGTTAACCATCTAATAAGTAATAAATAATAATCTCGATAAGACCAAGGGCCGTTTTTACAATGTCCGGTTAAGTGTCAGTTAACGCTAATCGACTGAGAACAGATTTTATTACCGGTAGAATTCTGCCGGTTAAGTGTCCGTTAACTTTAACTGGACATTGTAAAAATGGCCCTCAAGCGCTTAATTAACTGAGAAGTAATTTCCTTATGATTAGTGGGGGCTCAGGTAGGGTGCTCAGGAGCACGTGAACTACTTAAAAAAAAAAAATTAGATTCCTATGGTAACATATATTTGATTATTATGCACATGGTCTGTAATATAAAAAGTTTTCACTGTTTTTCATGTTGAGAAGTGTGTCTATATACGATTACATAATTTTCTGCCGTGTAAATATTA